CAACTCAAAAAAAAAAAAAAAAAGATCTTATTTTGGACTTGGGGTACATGTGCAAGTTTGTCACATGGGCATATTGCCTGATGGTGAGGTTTGGGCTTCTGTTGAAACTGTCACCCCAAGAGTGAGCCCGGTACCCGCTGTGTGGTCTTTCAACCTTTGACCCTTCCCCCTCCCTCCCCCCTTTAGGTGTCCCTAGCATGTGTTTTTTCATCCTTATGCCCACATGTACTCAGTGTTTTGCTCCCGCTTATAAGTGAGAACATGCCGTATTTTGTTCTCTGTTTCTGCATTAATTTACTTAGAATAGCGGCCGCCAGATGCATCCACGTTGCTGTAAGTACACAATTTTGTTCTTTTGTATGGCTACATAGTATTCCACGGTGGATACATACCGCATTTTCTTTGTCCACCATCAGTGGGCCCCTACGTTGGTCTTTGCTACTGTGATTAGTGCTGCAACACCTGATCACAATGCTGGGCAGCCAGTTGTTACACCTGATGGCAATGATGGCCTATCAGTGACCACTCAGATCGTTAGACCCGATGGCAATGCCAACCTTCCAGAGACCACTCAGGTCATCACACCTGATGGCAGTGGTGGCCTTCCAGAGACTGCTCAGATTGTTGCATCTTTGTTGCAGTGCTGACCTACCAGTGGCCACTCAGGTCGTTACACAAGCTAAAGGTTTTACCACCAACCCCTCTTTTCCCATTTGGTTTGTGCTCCGGGCAAGAGACCATTTCGGGCAATTGAGACAAAAATCATTTTGAGTGAATTGCCATTGTGAGTTAATGAGCCAACTGAGTTACCATTTTATGGAAGTATGTGATTTTGTCTATTTATTTTTGCATTTCTAAACATGAAATATTGTTGAGTTTTGCATTGGTAACTCTTTTGTGCTATTTTTATCCTTAGTGGCATTCTGAGAATTTTCTCTCAGGAGAAGATTCTATCTCTATTTCTGTCTTTTAGGACAATTCCAGATTTCACTGGAGCTGTTTCCATTTTGGAAACACAAGCCACGTTTGGGGCTGAGGGACCTTGTCCTACAGCCGAGGCGACCCAAGCCTTTAGTTGTAGGACTTGTACTTATCAGGAACTTGTAATTAAAAGTGGTGAGTCTTTTATTTTGCCCTGGCATTCAAAGATATGTGAATATGAAACCTTGTCTTACCATCTCAGTCTCTTTTCCTAAGATCTGCAGAGACTAGAAAATCAGAGTTCATACTCTGACTTTGTGTCCTGGGTCTGGGCCTTTCCTGGTCAGATGTAAGGGGACACTTTTGACCCTGGTGTTAGAGCTACATTGATATCATGAGTTAAATATCCCATGATGTTAAGTATAACCCACGTTTTCCTCCAAATGTGTATTATCTTGACCACTTGGTGGAGTTGCTCAGAACTCAGCTTTCGGTGTGGACCTTTAACAAAGAAATGCGATACAGGCTTGCAAGCGGCAATATTACAGGTTAGTGTGTGATGTGGTTTGGATGTCGTCCCTCCAATCTCATGTTGAAATGTGCCCACTATATTGGAGGCAGGGCCTGGCAGGTGCCAGCCTCCTGGACCCTGGGCCTTTCCTGGTCAGACTTCCGAGGACGCTTTTGCCCCTGGTGTTAGAGCTACAATGAAGTAATTAATTAGTTCTATACCCCATGATGTAAGTGTCTGCATCATGGGCTGGATCCTTCATGAATGGCCGGGCACCACCCTCGTGGTCAAGTGAGTCCTTGCTCTCTGAGTCCACGCGAGAGCTGGTTGACACCTCCTCCGCTCGCTCCTTCTCTCACCATGTGACATGCCTGCTCCCCTTCCCCTTCCTCCATGACAAAAAGCTTCCCCAGGCCTCGCCAGAAACAGATGCTGGTGCCATGCTTCTCATGCAGAATCATGAGCCAAGTCAGTCTCTTTTCTCTAAAAGTGACCCAGCCTCCAGTGTGGCTTTATAGCAGAACACACAGACGAAGACAGCGTGAGAGACTGCACCAGCCTTGCAGATCTGACCGGGCAGGAAACCAACATTTTGGCACCCAGAGCTCCTGGTTCAGTTGCCCTCCAGAGGGTGGGTTCCATTTCTTTGCA